ACATTAAGCCTACGCCCTTCTTGTGCTTGACGCTGAAGATGCTGCAGATCCAGCCCGAAAAGGACATCATCGTGGAGTTCATAAAAAACGAGGACTTCAAGTAAGTTGGTAGCTTGATTTTTCCCTCTTTTGGCTGTGGTACTGAATGAAACTGTCCAAAACAGGCAGGGAAACCTCAGCGCAGGGTTTAGCTTTTAGTGGGCCTTAATAAACTCATCTTGTTAAAAAGCATGTCCTTCCTCTTGCTTTCAAGACTGCTCTCCTTGTCAGTTGGGCTGTTGGAATGGCTTGCCTTTGGGGCATGTGCTCTCTGTGATAATACCTGTCTGCCTGAAGTATTTAGAACGAGGTGCATTAAGGGAGCCGTGTTAATCTACTTTTTCTTCAGTATTTCTTTCATCTTTGTGAGTGATAATGCACCCATACAGAAATTATATATGTATACTTGAGTATATGTATTTTTTTATATATATACTTGAGTACTTGAAGGACAAAATCTAAATGGTCGCGTATTCTATTTATTTTAGTGTACTGATTTTCCTCAGAAACTTACGGGAAAAACTCCTCTTTTATCTAAACTGCTAACTATGCAAAAAGCTCAGATATATTAAATGGTTTACTTTTCAGGTATGTCCGAATGCTTGGTGCGTTGTACATGAGATTGACAGGCACTGCCATTGACTGCTACAAGTACCTTGAACCACTGTACAATGACTATCGAAAAATAAAAAGTCAGAACAGAAATGGGGGTAAGCACTCTTACTTAGCTGTGATTTCTTAGTACCTCATGGATGATCTTTTGTTAAAAAAGATAGATAAAAGTAAATATCCTATTTAGTAATATACGCTTAAAAAATTGTGACATAACCATCTTTTTGAAACCTTACTTTTACTTACTCGTCCTTTGGATAGTCTGTTGCTGGTCTCACTGACTTGTATAAATGAGAACTGCCTTGCTTATTTTGCTTTCCCCAAGTACTTGTGTTTTCTGTTGGGCACTGAAATGCAGTTCCATAAATACCAAAGAAACACCGTTTGAGTGCTGGTTTAAGCACTGTGAATCTGCTAATCCTAGCTGTGCAGCAATTTCCTTTTTGCAAAATAGGCCTAATGATTTTCCTCATCATTGAGAATGATTTTAGAACTGTTATTTGTACAGCCCACTTGACATAAATTGTTTGAAGTGTTTCATCTTTACTGTAGCCACTAGTGTTAATCTTCTTCACCTTTTAAATGCTATTTTCCCCCCCCCAGAATTTGAACTGATGCATGTGGATGAATTTATTGATGAATTACTCCACGAGGAACGTGTATGCGATATCATTCTACCTCGATTACAGGTTTGGAAAAGTAGATGGTTATGGAATTCTTAACTGCATCAGATTCAATAAAGCTTGTTGCATAAAGCTATCTGGCACACGAGATGCCTCATTAAGTGTTTGTTCTTACTTGGGTTATGTAAAATAAAAGTTGTAATTTCTCCTAGAAACGGTATGTTCTGGAAGAAGCTGAGCAACTTGAGCCTCGTGTTAGTGCTTTGGAAGAAGACATGGATGATGTAGAATCTAGTGAGGAGGAGGAAGAGGAAGATGAAAAGGTTGGTGAACTGTTTTGGAAAGGGATAGTTAAAGCTGGTACTGAACCACCGCAGAACACTGTATGGCCTATGAGAAATATTTGAGGGGAGGCACCAGGAAGCTGCTTGCTTGCTGCCCGTATTTCCCCCCTTAACATATTTTCATATAAGCTGCTTGCGAGAACTTGTTAGACCCTGAAGCAGTTCTCAAGTGCTCTGTGTTTGCCAAGCTTTTCTGTCTCCTAAAATTCACAAATCTGGATCTGTTCTGTGTTAAACATATTTCAGATAAATTGTTTTACATACATATATAATGGAGATAACTAAAGGTGATGATGAAAGTTATGGTGACCACCATAGTCAATTCTGCTGTACTTAAGAATCAACAGTATGAGAAGTGGCCATTTTAATTTCCAGTTGGCAAACTTAGGCAGTACCACTCACTTCTGAATATGAAATACTTGAGGGTGGGGAACCTTGAGTGCATGACTTTTGTCATTTGTATTAATCGTTCAGAAATCTTTACTGATAGATAAAAACCTTGATGAAACAAGACTTACACAACCTTCCTGCCCCCCTCATTGTTTCCAGCTGGAACGAGCACCCTCTCCTGACCACCGCAGAAGAGGCTACAGAGACCTTGATAAACCTCGCAGATCTCCTGCTGTGCGATACAGGCGGAGCCGAAGCAGGTCTCCAAGAAGGTGACATGGCTCTTCTTGAGCAGTATTTTTACCTGTTTTACTGCAGGTGGCTGGAGCAAAGCATAGAAGTGAAGATGACAATTCAGCCAGAATCTCTTACACCTCCCAATTCCTTTAGCCACTTTCTGAAGTAAGGAGTTGCAGTGCACAGCCACAATCAACCTGTCTGCGTGTTTCTCTAGTCCTTCAGTAACTTTTGAACTTGCTAGCCAACTTTAGCTAAATTTGACAATACAGTGAAGATATGAAGGAGAATCAAGTGCTTTCTTTTCATGTAAGCTAGAGGCTGCAGGGAAAAAGTGTTCTTATTGATAATAAGCCATGAAAAACTCATCGCTACCCTCACTTGCTCACTGTATGGGACACTCCAGAAGCATGTACTGCCTCTTGTGCAGCAGGTCAAACACACATTAACTGGGGACACGGGGGAGTGCAAGGGAAGCCCTGGTGCTGTTGCTGGAGAATATGGGAAATTAAACAGCTAGTTCTGCTAGTAATTTTTTAGCGACTTTTTCTTTTCTCCCCCAATTACAGGCGAAGCCGCTCTCCAAAGAGAAGGAGGTAAGTCTTTTATTCTATTATTTAATCTTAGAATGTGTGTATTTTCAGTATGGCTATCTTAAAAACTTCCTTTCTCTCAGTCCATCACCACGCCGGGAGAGGCATCGCAGCAAAAGCCCAAGACGACACCGGAGCAGATCCAGGGAGAGGCGCCACAGATCAAGATCTAAATCTCCAGGTATTTTTGTCATTTACAGATTAACTCTGGCAAGTCTTTATCAGCAGAACATCCACTGCAAGAAAAATCTGTGTCACGGTATCAAGAAGGTAGCATAGGTGCTTAATCTGGCTCATAAAACTGCTAGCTATATGAAGGCACAGCCGGAGAACTCCTTTAATACATGCAAAATTGCCTTGAGTATGTTTTTCAGATATTTGCCAGGAGGTTAATTTGAGTGCCTAATTAAGGCTAGGGTTGTTCTGGCATTATCTAGGACACTTGGTCAATAGAAGCAGATTGCATTAGCAAAACAAAAAAGAATTCCAGGATCTACAGAAGTAACTGTTAACTTTTTATCTCATAGGGCATCATCGTAGTCACAGACACAGAAGTCATTCCAAATCACCTGAAAGGTAAAGGCTTGGCCTGTTTCTTAAAGGTGTCTGTATTGTAGGAGCTCTTACTTGTCTTGGGGACTGAAAGTCTTACAATGTTGGAGATCAAATATTTCATACAGTACCTCCCTCAGTGTTGTAGTCAAGTCACACTGTCTGTATTTGACCATAGAAAACACCACTTACTGCTATGAATCACCTTGGTCTTTCAAAACCATTACTAGTACTGTGTCATATGGCTTTTTTTTTTTTTCTCCTGTTTCAGATCTAAGAAAAGTCACAAGAAGAGTCGGCGAGGGAATGAATAACAAACTAAATCCAGCACACAGTTTAAGGACCTTGAACTGCAGTGTAATACTGTCCTATTTGCTTTACGGGACAGCTGGATATGTACTGGCTGCTTTAGCAGTCCGTTTCTTTAATCCTTCTTCTCTTGTGCAAGTCTTGTTTGTTTGTTTTTTTTTAATTAAAAGAAAGCGAAGGTAACTTTTTATGTAATTATTTACTAATCCTTGTGATAGGATTTGAGGATTGTTTTTAAATTGTTTTTCTCAAGGCCTGTAAAAACTAGTGAAGAGCAATAAAAAAAGGGGGGGGGGTTGTCTTTAAAGGCTCCTTGCCGTTTCTTTCATAATACTTTGTTTAGATGTCCCCTAGTTGAAGCTGGCTTCGTTCTCAAATCAGGGTGTTGTTTTGACAAACAGCCACTGCATTCAGTTGCCAAAGTCAGAATATGTTTGAGTTACAAACACTGAAGAACTACCAGCCTGAACGATCTCAAACCTCCAGTACAGGAAAGGAGGGAAGACCGTCATAATCCAGTGTTTACTAAAAGCAAGAGCTAATTTAAAACAACTCTCCACCACACAGCTGTTACTGGTTCCTTTGTAAGAATCATCCTTAAGGCTAATGATACACTGCTTCTGATGCTACTATCAGATAGTTTAGAAGCTTCAAGTAGTACAAAGCACCACTTAATTCTTCTCAGGCAAGAAGTTATTCAGTATATTTAAAGACAGTAAACCACTACTTCGAGCATAGTTTGTGGCCCATCTGTGACTGGGGACAGAACGTGACACAGTTATACCCTGCTCTACCTTCTCTGAATGAAGTTAGCATTCAGCAAGTCCCTGTTTTTCAAATTAAGAATAATTAAGCTCTTACTCCAGTTACAGTTCTCATCTTAGTACATTTAATTATGGAAATCAGTTGTGTTAAACCCCTTGTGTATCATCCCTTTATTCATACTCTTGCTTCAGGAGCAGGGACTGACAGGTTTATCTCCCAAACACTGCATTTATGGCTTAAGTATTTTCACATATTGCCCAATGAGTGTTAACAACACAAGAAGTAGTATGCCAAGTAAATTTATGAAAAGTCCTTTTTAAAATTACTTCATAGTACAGCCTGATTTTTCTAGAGTATTTTCATATTTTTTTGCAAAGTTTATGAACAGTATTTTACAAGAAAGACACATTGGCTGTGAACAGCACATGCAATGACACCAGCATGGGGAAAAACAGGTATACTGATTGTATGACTCGCTAAAGCTGCTCATCTTTCATCTCTTCTTTAAGATAACTAAATTAAAGCCATTTTTATTATTCTGGTTTCCTAATCACAGTTAAATGCAAGCATGCATACAAATAGGGACGAGGAAAAAGTCTTACATCCTTTTTTTTCAGTTTTATTTTTCTTTTAAAAAGTTTTTTGGCACTACATAGTTCTGTAAAGAATAGAAGTGACAAATTTTTAAACACATGAAATCCCCTTCTAATTTTATTTTTTTAGAACAATATATATAAAGTCTGAAGCAACCAAAGTATGAATACAGCTAATAGAAAATAAAGAACTTAATTTTAAAAATTCTCTCTCTTTACAGTTTATCAAGATAAAACAAAACACAATTCCCCTTAAAAATAGGGTAATAAAATAGATGAAATTTGTATCACTCAGTTTTGTGATACTAGTAAAAACTATAGTTCATATCTATGTACAAATGATACAGTTTAAAAACAGTCTTAAATAATCTTGTATCTAAACATGTTGCATTAAGATTTTAAATCAGAACCTGAATTTTTTTCCTCCCCTCCCCCCACCCACCCACAATCCCATTAAATTTCACTTTTTCTGTTGAATGTAATTCAGATTCAAGTGTGGGTGTCCTTGAGACAGAAGCGAGAACCGCTGGTTACTCTGCATCAGTGGACCAGCTAAAAGAAAATGGATTACAATTACTTCAGCAAATTAAATATATTTAACAGTGCTTGGCTACATTCAATGTATTAATCTTACTCAGAAATAAAGCCATTTACTAGACTGACACAAATGCTATCTCTACAACTAACCCATTTAATGGGACAATGCAGTATTACTTTAACCCTATGTCCAAAATTCCCTCAGAATCATCTATACATCATTTTGTTGCATTACTTTAGTTATTTAACAAAAATAATTTCAGGATTTTTAAATATGGGTCTTACTTGGAAACCTTGCTACAGCCACCATTAGATCTTGAAAAAAAGATTTGGTGCCAGTATCTCTCATTTTATCCTAGGTGACCCAGCCACACGTTAATTGCAAAGCCTCCAAGTAAAATGTGGGCATGGTTTCTCTCTCAGTGGAGCCAAAGGTCTTTTTCCTACAGCCTTTCCCAATCCTGCCAGATGCTGAACACCTTTACCATTCACTACCACCAGGAAGAGCTGAGATAAAGTCAGTCCTTCAAAGTACCCTGAATAACTGAACCTGATCTAACTTTGAAGTTAGTGCTGCTTTGACTGCAGACGGGTTGGACTAGGTAAGCTCCAGAGGCCCCTTCCAACCTGAATTATTCCATGGTCTTGCAAGTTTTTACCTATGTAAGTCATTCCACAAGGCAAGGTACAAAAGCCAAATAAAATGAATTGGGACAAAAATTTCTTCATATTCTTAACACACTCATGGGCAAATCATCTTAACCTCTGTTGAAGCAGAGGTGGCTCTACAGTGAGACAGCCAGCAGCAGTGAAGGAGAAAGAGGCTAGAAGTGCAACAGACTGCAAATTGGCTCAGATTTCAGAAGTTGATTTAACCCCTTCCCTCCCACAAAGATTTTCATCCATCCATACAGGAAGCCGAAGCGTTGATTTGACTCTTGGATTCATTATGGTTCCAGGGAGCCTAGCAAGTGAAACATGATTCCTTGGCTTTTAAAGCCTTTGCGACAGTAAAGAGACATGTTGCATGAGCTGTTGATTCATATACTAGTTCTAGTACCTTGAGGGTAGAAAGGTTTGTTCGGTGGATAGCTGGCATTTCCCTGCTGCATGTAGTTCTGAGGCATATTGTAAGGCCACGCTCCTCGGAGGAGAGGAAAATGGGTAGGGGTCCCATGGTCCCAAGGGACAGAAGGAGGGTTCATTTTACCAAACTGTCCTTGGAAACCCTGATCTATTTTTCAATTGAAAGGGAAAAGCACATTGCAAGTTGAAATAATTAAACAGTAAGTCACAAATACAATTTACATCTTAAATAACAGTTTGCAGGGACTTAATGAGATTAGTCTGATGTGCTACTTTTTTTTTTTTTTTAAATATACATCAGTAAAAATTACCACCTAAATTACTTCATTATTCACTATAATAGAATTTATTGGGGAGGAAGACAGAGGATGAATCAGTATTAATATCAAGACCTGCAATTTCACTATACCTATGTCATTCTCATGATGAAAAATACAAGGTCTGAACAATGTTACTAATATCTGATCCCACACAAATATTCACATAGCTGTGACATGAAAGCTATTATCCTATTGCAAGAAATAATTCTCAGATGTACACTGGAATTCCACTAATACTTCTGTGCTTAAGAAACTTGGTATCTAGCTCATCGGACCAACTTAAAATTGATTTTTAGAGAGAAAAATAAAAACTTTTGAAATAAGTACACAAATTGTAAGCTATTCCATTTACAAATCCAGTATTATTGCAGCATTAAGGATGAGAAATCAAGCATCCAAGGAGGCAGGACACACAACAGTTGATGTCAAATGCTGTATTACTAATCCTGCTCTTTTTGTTCATAGCTCCCAATTTTATAAGACACAGCAATGCCTGCTAATTTAAAAACTTGATCAATGTACATTTAAAAATAAATAAATAAATTTAAGTTACTATCCTTCTCAGTATATCAGTTCCCCTTCACACTCACAATAAAAAAAAACCTTGCAGACAGACTTTCATTAAATAAAAGTAAGCTACACATTTAGAAAGAACAGTAACTTTTATAAAATAAACCATGAAGCATGGCTCTGGAGTATGCATGAAAAAAAGTTGTCTGTCTGAAACTTCTAATGATCCCACTCCTAATTAATCATCTACTGAAAAGAGTGTGAAGTCACTCCTTCTAAGTCAAGGTTATGTGAGCCAAGACAAAGTATCCATGAACTTACTGTTCTCAAATTGTCCCAAGCAAGTAAGAAAGCTGGCTTAAAAGAGAGCAGACAGCTCATCTCTACTGTCTGCCTACCCAGTGACCCCACCTTAATGGCATCTAAGCCAAAAAGGAAACAAAACTGATTAAAATACAAAGAGGAAGAATACTAGGACTGGGAACTAGGAAAAGAAGTGTGATGAGACTGAAATAGATGGAAGTTGAGGGAAGGGAAAAGAAATACTGTGACTGACAAGAAAACTGGGAAACCTGTGCAGGCATAATCAGAGTGGAAGCAAACAAACTGAGACAGAGCAAAAGGAAAAAGACCGAAGACAGGGTCTGACTGACTACATGATGAGAAATGGGACTCGTTAAGGGAGCATAGAGCAGAAACTAGGATTTGGGGAGCTTGTCTGAAAGAAGGCAGCTACCTGGGTAAGAAGACTTGGATTGGAAGGAGCTGCTTGAGAAAAAGGTCAGAGCTGGGGTGGACATGAAGGAGGGGACAGATGAGCCTGGACAGAGAATTAAGATCAGCAATGGAGAGGTAGGGACAAAGCACACTGAAGGCACACTAGTAGCAGTTTCTGTATCCTCTAAGATACATTGCCCACAAAGCTCTGAATAGAACAACATGCATCTCCAGCATCTCAACAAATATCTGAAACTCACTGGTGAATTATACCTCATCCAACACTGTTGACTCAGCTGAAAACCTACTGTTGCTGTCAATCACCTTATTAGTGCAGAGAAAGGCTGTGCAGGAGATTCAAAATTTCCACCTCATGATGAACAACTGCATCAGTACATTGTATGATGGATGTATTTTTTTAAACATAGGAGGAGTTACACACTCAGAATAAATCAAAAGACCATTATCATGATCTAAAGATCACAGTTAAAATTTAGGGGCTGCCACGGTTTATGTTGCACAGAAAACTACATGGGCTTTAATTCCCACATACTGTTTTTCTCAGCCTCAAACATTCAAATGTACTTGGCTTTGATATGAGGCAAAAGGCTGTTGCCCACTTGTCGCAGGGAAAATCTGTATGAAGTATTTTCAGGAAATGACATTGAGATTATGGAAGTTAAATGTGGCAGGATAAACTATAGGAAAAAAGAACACATAAGATCATGTTATATTGCACTAAATGCAAGGAGGCAATATTCAACTTGCACAACCACAATTCTGCCAGTCTCCAAGTTTGTAGTTGCAGTCTCAGCATTTATCTAATAAACTACATTTCAACATAAATGGAATCCGTATTTGTAAGCATATTCACAGAAATGTGCTTTAGACTCAAACAATTATTACATTGCTCAGTTGAATGCATGATTTCTCATGTGTTGCACAGCTGTTAATGGCAGATAGGACCAATGCCTAAAAGTTACAATGATCCAACCTGCCTAATTTTTTTCCTATGAAAATGTTAAGACAGTGAAGGTAATGACTTAGTTTCTTAAGCATCATATTTTTAATATAAACCAAGTTGAAAGAGTTAGCTGTTTCTGTAACACTTAACACTTGTACACAAAGTGCGAGAGGTTTGATACAACAGAGAAGAGTTACCTGAATTCCCCACAGTGCCATTGTTCACCAGTGAATTTGGAGTCACAGGATTGTGCCAGTGTCCCTCATGAGAAGTGCTGGGGATTCCCATGGGCCTGGCAGCAGGCTGTGCAAAGATGATACTGGGATCATTCAAGCTTACACTGCTCTGGTTATTTGTGGTGCTGCTGCTGCCAGATCTCATTGAAAATGGAACATTTGTAGAATGAGGAGGGTTACCCGGTGCAGAGTGAATAACAGGCCCATGAATAGGCCAAGAAGTGTTGGGAAGCTGAATTTGGTGGTGATGGTGCATCTGAAGTAGTCCCAGGTTATGCAAGGTGGAATACTGACCTGGGGGAGATTGGGGAAAGTTAAACAAAGGCAGCTGGACCTGATGGGGTGGCTGTGCACCCTGCTGTGGTTGCGGAACGTGCTTAGACTGGGATATTGGTTGTGGCTGAGTCTGGTTAATGGAGGCTGGCTGAGAGGAATTCTGTGTAAATTGTTGAGGTTGTGGAGAGTAAGATGACTGATGCGAATCAGACTGGAGGGGAAAAAAAAGTATGTATTTCTGATTAGTTCACTAGCTATTTAATGGTGTTTTTCTTTAATAAGCACCCACTGCATTACACTATTCATAAAAAAGGCAAAGCACTCCCCAGCAACACCCCAAATACTGCACCCAAGTTCCTGCTGGTTTAAATAAGTGCAATTTGACTGACACTGATTTTCACCATCAGATAATTTGATCTGTTAATGTGGCACATTCCACCATCAGAAAATCATTCAGAGCAAAAGTTAGCCCCAAGCTCTTTATTCTACTCCTCACACATCTGTTTCTGATTTTTAATCAGTGTCTTCCCCACCCTTCTTATTTACAGCCCAGAATCTCATTAACTAATTACCTTATTCTAAAAAGAGTGGTTCTTATTACTATAGACACTTTTTTAAGTAATTCCAAAGTAAGCTCCTAATATTTCTTTAATTTTTCCTTAATCTGTTAAACAAGAAATTGAAACTCCAAAAACCCAGTTTCAACCTCTATATCCTGATGTTAGGCCACGGCTAAAGGCACCGAAATAGCAATTATTACTGCCTCTGCAGAGCTCTTACAAAGCTTTCCCTTTCACCAGCAACAGATACAGGCATGAGCCTAATTCATCTGTTTGGTATTGCAACTAAGTAGAGAAGCACTTCAAGAACTGGAGTGGCTGGGAAAAGCATTCCCCAGTTTATCTGCCAAAATTTATTATCAATGTCTGGATTAACCTAATCTGGTTTTAAGCACTGAGACAAGATGGTGATAGCATAAGATAGGTGCCTCCAAGGAGAAATTAGAATGACAGATAGCTACCTAAGCCAGAGATGATTACCTGAATCTCAGATCTCAATCTACCCCTGGAGTTGCTTGTCTCCCTCCATAGACTATAGCAGACAGCTAAGCTCCAAGTACACAGCTGCTGTCAAACATCTGAAGTTAAAGGTCTCTGCAGCTTTCCACTATCCATGACTGCTCGCCTGTCCGCTTAAATTGGCAGTCACTTTTCTTCAATAACCAGAGGTCTGCAGGACTTCCCCATGCCAGCCTTTCAGAGCGTTCCTTATAGTAGCATGTGTGTCTTTGCCTGGGCAAAAGCTGAAGCCCAGAAGCTGGGATTTCTCCCTGTTGCTATTCCAACTGTTCCTGTATGAGTGCCTCCTGTGCCTTTCTATCAAACCAGGAAGAGAAGGTAAAACCTGGGATTTGAAAGACGACGACTAGTCTAACAGTTTAAATGTTATAAAAATAGAGCACATGCACTGACTACAGCCTTCCTGCAAACATTAAACCACCACAAGCATGCATTGGACATGTCAGCAGGAGGAGAGGAGAAATGTTAAACTCCAGCCTCTTGGTCTGCTTCCAAATTCTTGCTTTCCTGTTTCTCTCCCTCTTGCTCGAGTAACATTCCCCCTTCCCATTCTCCTCAAACAATCCCTGGACAGCACATATTCACCAAGAAATCCTGGCCAAATGACAACTATGCAACACACACACAGAGTCCATGATATCCAGATGACACAAGAATGTGCACATGCAGTAGGTCCCGTGTGCACAATGTGCCTGAGTGTGTTTGCACCCACATGTCCAGCTCCAATTTCCCAAGCAGAAATACAAGGCTCCTAAAATGATACTTCTGTGTCATGTGATAACATGGTGGCAGTTCAGCCCTTCACTTAGATTAGGGCTGTATCAGTCCCTCCTTAACACCATATTATTATAGTAAAAATGATGTTACGAGGTCTCTGTTACTGGAGCAAACATTCCAATAAATGCTTACTGATCAGTTAGAAAATCAGTCTCTATACGTAAAGTAGTAAACAGAACAAAGAGCATTAGTGATCAGCAGCCCTGATTCCTATGTTTGCTTACTTGCCAGCTTCATTAGCAGGCACATGTTTCTCAGACTAACAGCTTAAAATTGATGAATTTCTGCTATGTTCTGTACTCCAAAAACATTAAATGCCAACAGCTGTATTTGCTCAAATACCCTCTGCTATCCATCTCCACTTAGAAGCAGGCTAAACATATTTTACCTAGTTCTATAAGACTTGAACAAATTCTAAGAGAAAACTACCAAAAAATTCCCCATAGTTCTGTTTGTGCTTCTAGTGTGCTCTGGCAGACTTTTGCCCTGTGTATCACATCTGAATTGAAGTATGATTCATCTGTGTTCCCTGCCTGTTCATGACAGTCCCTTAAACCACAGAGAATCATGATAGTCACAAACCTAAGTCTCCAGCATGTTAACGATGAGCTATGCTTTACTTCCCTTAGTAACTCCAGAACATTGCCAGGAAAACTAAGCACAAGACTTCAGAAGGCATCCTAGCTTAAATCTCAAAGATAATGAAGCTGGCATTTCAGAATTGCAGCTATCTTATAAGAAATTTGACTATGTAGCTTCCGTATTGAAAGACCACAAACGCTCTCCAAGAGACACTACGTTATAAATCAAAGTTTCATTAACTGGCAGAGTGCAATGTTGTCATTGTAAAGTCTAGAATCTGTTGAGAAAAAAATGTGCGAACCTGTTCCTAGCATGGCCCAGGATTGCTGGTTTGCTACAGCTCGCTTACTTCAATACTATAGCTAATTGGAACTTACACATTCTGATGACTGTCTAGTGCGCAAGGGTCGTTCCACTTGCTGCTGACTCACAGCCACTAGCTGTGAATTTACCATGCTTCGGACCAACTGGGTGCCTGATCAAGGAACAAAAATGTTAATAAAAAACACAAGGTTACAAATGACAGAATAATGAGCAGAGAACTGGGAGTCAGCAAGGCCTTAACTCTCATGTGACACAGAGTAGGTAAATCACTTTAACCTCTCCTCTAAGTGGAAAGTTTTCCCTCTACTGGCAACAGCCAACATTAATAGGTATAGCAGCTAAACCCAAAATCTAATTCTGAGTAATACAAATTCTAGCATGAACAATGCTCACTTTGCTATCAGGCGGGAGCGCTACTTTATACAGGTTTCCATGCTATTCCTGTAAGCAGTGGGATTTTAAATAGCAATAGCAACAGCAGAACTTTTGGGCAAAGAAAAAAAAAAAGAGAGTGAGTAAGGGATACAGAATACAGAAAAGCAGCAAGGTTCTCTCTGAAGTTCATTTATGATTGCTTTCTCTACTTTGTCAAGTACCGCAGGCACCTAAGGGCCTAATTTGAATGGGTTTGCAATTAGACTTGTCTCTAATTACTAACAGTAATTTGAAAGCTGGATCTAGCTTCCTAATGCATCTGTATGCTTTTGGAAGTGTTACTTTAAACCACTGATTTTCAGTGACAATACATTTACTTACCTCTCACAGATGATGGAGGGTTAGCTAACATTTGAGAAACATTTGGAAGAGGAAATGCATTCAATTATTACTATTATTACTACCCCTAAATGCACCCATTGTGAGTGGAAGAAAAATAATGCAATACCCTGAAGTAGACTGTACTTACTGCTGAGTACATTTTTACCACCCATGCAAAGACTGTACTTCAGGAGGCATTAATCCCCTTGAAGAGCAACACTAAGACTAAAAGCTGTACTTGCAATGACTGAAATAATTAGTTGCAGAAATTTTTTAAGATAATTACCAGGTCTGTATAGAGAGAAGGGATCTCAGAACTTTCAAATTATACTAACACCACAAACTAACTTACCTGGCACGCTATTATTTCTCTGACGGGTTTGTTTGAATTCAGGACAATCTCTTCTAACATGACCCACATCCCCACAGATGAAACACCTTTTCTCTCTTGTTTCTCTATCGTCTTCTTTCACTTCTTTTTCATCATCTTTCTCATTCTCCTTTTTCTTCAATCTGAATAATAATTTTTATTAGCAACATCACAAAACCACAGGAAAAAAAAAAATCTCTGTAGAGTTGTTATATTGGTATGTTCAAAGGAAATGGTTACATAACCAACAGCTGTACCAGAATACAAGTATCTTAGGAATCCCAGAAAAACACTTGCAGAATCTGTATAAACTTAACAAACTTAGAAGCTCCCCAAAATTGTCCAGAAGCTATCTGACTGTATGAGTGCAGAACTATACCTGCAGTTAAGTAGGCTTAGCTTGTCAGTTAGTTTGGGAGTAGTTCTATGCAACAATCCCAGATCTATGCAACTGAGTCAGAATATACACAACGCAAGTTGGCTGTATCTTGTAGACATAACCTCCCCCTGATTGGAGACGGCATATTTCTCTGTAAGAGTATATTAGCATCCCGAGCCTAGACAAGATGTAAAAGAAAGCACTGAGGCTCTTTCAAACACTTAGTACTAATACAACAAACAGGAGAAGAACTAGTGATCAGGAACCAAGACAAGAAATAAAGGTCTTTTTCTACATGATATGTGTAGGATTGTTAAATATTAATACTATTTTGTGAGCTGTGTATACAATTTGAGAGAGATTCTGTGTGGCTATGCTGTAGTAGCAGTTTGTGTGAAGAGCAGATCACAACTTTTCCTGAGGCAGATGTAGGAAATTCAATGTGCTACTGCTTGTGAGAAGTATGTTAAGGGAGCAGCTGAAAGAAATAGTCAGTCTGTGACCTCAGGGTTCCACTCCAGTTTTCTGTATCTTGAACCCTGCTGACTGAACAAAAGGCTGTAAGTAAGGAGTTTGTAGCAGGAAGAGACCAAGTATCTTTTGAAGAATTAAGGAGCACACAACTGAACATAGGGAGTAAATGAAGAAGCCCAGACTTTTCTGCATTCTAAGGACTTCAACAGGTTTTAGGAGGAGTCAGACAACCTACACTGAATGGGTCATTAAAAATCCAAAGACATAAAAATGCGAGGAGTGCACATTCTCTGTCAATTCCTGCTAAACTCTCTTTGGACACATTGACCTGCATGTACTAGGGACTCCTTTTGCAGGAGTGCTGGATCCAAAACTCATGAGTGCAACTAATGTACAAGTGCAAGATCACTAAGTGACTGACACTAGTATGATGTTACAGAAATGCACCTTAACTATGTACATTTTAAATACTCCTAGATTTCAATAAATTAACTTTTACCTGCCTTGCAGAGGTACATTATCAGATCTATAGAACAATTCTCAGATATGAAACTCTGATTTTCTCTGCATGTTCAGCATATTCTTCATTTCCATTAAAATTTGAACTATCCAAATCTACCTCCTGATTTAATCTCAACGATTTTACGTTAGCTTTGTATATTACTTACCTCCTCCTCTTTGGACAGTCTTTCATGTAGTGACCAATTTTTCCACAGACACGACAACATCTGTCATTGGGTGCCAATTCCCCATCTGTCAGCACTTTTGAGTCAAAAAAGTATTCCTATCAAAACACATCAGACATACAATATATAAAACATTCACTTGCAAGACTGAGAAATGAAAGCAAAATGGACAGCTTTAATCTCCTATTGTTCCCTAAATTTTACTACTTCTTAGATTATACCTAGTCCTTTTCTTCCCCTAAATAATGGCAGCTTTTTCAGAGATGTGGAGCAGTTTGGGCTAAAAAGGAGTAATTAGTTTTAGGGCCAGAGGCTGAATTTGCACAACAGCTTATCCAGGCTCCAGCCTGCTGCCTACTTTCCGCTTCCCCAAAGGCTCTTCAGAGGGCAATTTTTTGCATATGATCTATTTTGGTATCTGAGTCACTGCTTGTATGCTTTCCGAAGCAGCCTTATGTCCCTTCCCAAATGAAACGATTATAGCCCCCTAGACAGAACAAAGCTCAGGTGGGAAACAGATGAAGCATCTGCACACTGACCTATATCACTCCCCTCCCCTGGAATTTGCTAAGGACAGCTGCAGTTCTGATGTATGTCAGCACAAAGGCCACAGTTTACAGCCTCCGAGCAACATAAACATTGTGAAAGTACTATCTTGCCTGAAAGATTGAAATAGAGGTACAATTAGAAACATCCTAACCACAGCTCGGGAACAAAATCCTACTGTAGACAGGTAATTTACTGAACCTTTTTGCTCCAGTTTCCTCTCTGTACCACTAATGCAATGCAATACAGGGTACTGGCTTAGGAAGGAGAGCGAGAACTCCTTCTTTGTTGGGCACTTGGGAGAAATAAAATGCTATGTAATACTATTGGCATTATTTCCTTCATGTAAGAGACAGCTCATTTGCATGCTAAGGCTGCCTTCTGACTTGCCTTTTACCCTTATGTAAAATGCTCAGTGAAAATCTGATATGAGGCAAAACACCACAAACAACCGCATATACAAATACACAGTACATGCTTTCCAGAAGCACTATAGCCTTGTGTTGAACATGTATGCAAACAATTAAAAAATACTTATTACATACGCTCACATATTTGTCAGTTACAGATAACCACATCCACACTGTAATTCATTATTATTTGTATCACAGTCGTACTCAAAAGCCCCAATAAAACCAGATTCTATTTTACTAAGCACAGCACAAAACAGAACAGAGTCACTGCATCAAAGAACATTTAATACAAACTCAGAAAAAAACACAGATAAAGTAAGCAAACGGAAAAGAGAAGATAGGGAAGGATGAGGGGAAATAAAAGCTTTCCGAAGATTTTCAAAATCCCTTAGAAACACAAACGCTGTTGAAAGCCATTGGGAGAATAGTCTTCTAAACCGTCTCAGAAAACACCTTTCTAAGTAGATATTAAAAATACTAATTCCAGCTGATTTATTTGCTCATATAAAAAAAACAGTTCTCTATTACACATCGATGACTGGACCCTGTAGCACGGAGGAGTACTTTCTCTAATATGATGTTGCATGAATACATTCCTGACCCTGACTCACTATGCAAATTTTGAAGGTCAACTGATTAAAAAAAAAAAAAGTTGATCATCGTCCTTTTCCTTCCTTAAGCAGCAATCCTTACTTTCCCCACGAACTGGAAAAATAAGTAGAATGTAACATCTCATGAGTCTGTTTTCTTTAGCTACATGAATAGCTAGTAAAGTTCCTAAAGCTGTTCCTGGGTTTTATAGCCGATTTTGCAGTTTTCTGCAACACTTAATGTCACACAATGAAAAGTTTTATAAAAAACAAAAACCAAAACCAAAACCAAAATAAGCTTACTTTCTCCAAACCTGCCAAAAATACCCATCACCCATCCAACTACTCCTGTGAATTTTTTTATTGCAGGAGCCCAATACTAACCTGTACATTTTATGCAGATGATGTATAATTACATATATTGTGCATACCAAATTGATAAATACACACAAGAGATTTGCTTTGGATGCATCAATTCAGTGGACAAAGAAAAGCAAAAAACATACTACAAACTATGAAAACTTACAGCTTCTCTTCCAACAGTTGGGTAGAATGGGGTACCAAATAATTTTCTCCCATTGATAAATGCCTTCATTATGAAATTGGTCACTATTGAAGAAAGACAAAGTTATTGTAAAACAACAGAAAAGGTGCAACACTTTAGAAACTAGTGAACATTAATCATTAGTAGACATTAATAGCTTACTTTTCCTAGAGACTCCAGCACCGAGATTATGATTCAAGTCAAAAGGATCTGTGTAAAGAAGGGAGAAAAACAAATCCGAGTTGGAAAAAATATGCTGCAACAAAAAATTTTTATTTTAACACAGAGAATTCCATTTTAAATGCACTCACAGAGCAGATGACAGCAAAGCAATGCTGAGTGTTTCAAAAATATGTGACTAACCATAAGAAAGTAAGAGCAATTGACTGACGTATACTAAAAGTTAGGAGTCTGATCTTATTTGTAAGCTGTAGGACTTGCAAACAGTGTTTTTTTAAACTTTGATGATAGTTTCCTCACATAAAGATCCTGCGCAACAGGGAGGACAGATCACTCCCTCATTAATGGAACAAAATTCAGCAGATAAGTACCTTCTATGGCAATACATTTGGATGTCCACTGTTTCTCAAATGTAGTTAACAGTTTCTTCTGCCGGATGCTGATCACATATTCTTTGAAGTCAAATTCTTCAGTGTAGAACCGCAACAACCCTAGCCAGAGTTCTCCAAGTGATTCAGTGTTCTTTCCAAGAGAAGGCAGGCGCTTCTTCTGCATGCAATTGAAGACACAATGTATTCAGTTACAGTTACTGAAGTACTCCTCCTCCTGAACTACCTCTCTAATTATGAGTTTGTCTACCATGAACAGTTTCACCTGGTTAAAGTAAGGTTAAACCACTACAGTTAACACTACCTCAATCCTGGACTGTTTATTAAGAGTAAAAAGTATTCCTCCTGTTTTATGTTATTTAGAATTATTTTAAATAAACCAAGAAAAAGCAAAACAGGACTCATTTGGGAAGTTATAATAATATGGATACAGAAGTTTAACTACTCTTTTATATATTACACTGTTAGAAATGTATTGCTTTCCCATAAAAACAAGCTTTAAGTTTTAAGTGACTCTTCTGAAATTAGAATATTACCAATTCTTCCATGTCATCAAAGAAAAAGGCATTCCATCCATCCACCATTCTTTGTGGAATCTGTTTTCCATCAAATATCTGCCGAAAGAGAGAGGGACACAGTTACCACTCCAATTCAAAGTCACCATAAAAGACCTGCAGTTTTGTTGGTAAGAAATAATACAAAAATATAAATCTTTTAATTTTAACAACTGCTTCTTATATAGGCAGAATTTCCCATCGGTAAAAAGTCTGAAAGTCTTTTTGCATTATTGCTATACCTCTCTCAAATTATTTGGATATTTTATTTTTACTTGTTCCTTGTAACTAAGAAAACATGACTGAATTACCTCATCAAAATTCCGACATCCCTCTTGCCCACAAAATCTCTAAGGAGAATTTATATGACTCCTATTACATTTTGACTTTAGCAAAGCCAAGGGGAAATTCCACTGTTACTTAAATGCACTCTCAGGGTACCAATAAAATAACAAGCTCCGACCACTACTAAAGATTCAGCAAGAAAGTCTGAGTCTCAACTGCAGTGCTTAAGCCAATTTTCCTCTTGCACACAGACAACAAGAAAGTCAGAAAGGGGTAATTTTCAGAAGTGCTTGGGAGTTCCAGAGTGTATCCAGGAAGAGGTAGATAGCGGACTAATTATATTCTCCCCACCCATGCAATGGAGGTACAGAACGTTATTTTCTTAATAAGGTTTCCTGGCACATGTAAAATAGTATCTTTAAAGTTGTACCAAAGCATTAGTTATCTTTTTTCCCCCCTCATCAAATCATAAAATAAACTTTTCCTCTTACAGATAAGGTGTTGAGCAATAAATAATGCTTCTGACAATAACTGATGGAAGAGCTGGACTCGCATCTCAAGAGCATCTGGTGCAGACTCATAATTACAATTCCCTTCTCTCCATACCACCTGCCAATTTTTTATATCCTGTTCAGCATATAAATATCATCATAAGACCAAAATCCCAAAGTAAATGTAACAGCAGAACTTAGGTCCAACAGATTCCCCTTTTTTTTGTAATTTTCTTGCTAAGTTTTACCCACTAAAACCAAGCAGGAGTTAGGAACCTTCTAATGCAGAAGGGTCCCATGTCTCATTCATCCCCCTGATCCTAAAAGCCCAGACTTCTCATATTTGGCTTGAAGAAACAGTGCATCTATTTTCATAGCCTCTTCTTCTGAAAACCTACCTCCTGAAGAACTGGAATAACTGGTGGATTTCTCTGCTGTAGAAAGTACAAAACCATAAGAATATAGGCATACGAAGACAGACTACCACGGGATGCATCACCAATATCGCAGCGCTGAAAAAAATACATTTTAAACAAAATACTGAATTTACATTTTATTATTCAAGACTAACAACTACACCAGAGAGCAAACAGAAACCCCACCAGTAATAGAAAATACATTCATCTCATAACTAAAAATTGTTTTACGAAGCCTGAAAAATAAATGTCCTTAGAGACAAGTGCCATCTGGCAAATCCACAGCATAATTTGACTAACATAAAAGCAGAAAAGCTTCTCATAGCCAAAATATTTTTTTTTAGTTTATAATGCGCCAAATTGAAAAGAAAAAAAAAAAATCAAAACCCCCAAAACAGAAATCGCAACAAACCTCCACATCTGATATGCAGGTTTCAATACTGTAAAGTTTAATTCTCCTAAACTCATGTTACTAGAGTTGTTTCTATTGTTGTTTTGGTTTCCCCTTTTTAATAATTAATTAATAGGCAAGTATTTCCATGTCGTACTGGCAACTTAGGCAATACCTGGCATTTTGCTAGCATACATACACATACCTAATTAAATCATGGTTCAGCCCGCACAACACAGTGTAAAACAAACATCAGTGAATTATCTTACTATGCTTGAAAACCTTATTACAGTATAACCTTTCTACAGCACCTGCTTCTAAGCTACCCTTTGCTTCGAGCATGTGTCATAACAAACAACACATTTTTAAACGCCTAGGTCTGGAAAAAACAGGGATTCACAAATTACTTTCACATTAGCAGCAGCAGTGACAGCTGTTCCTGGTTTTTCTGCCAATGCAAACAGAGAAGGAAGCATTTTGCTTAAACACAGAGTATTTGTATAGCTATGAAGTCACCTCCACACATACACATTCAAGAGTGTATGTCCCACAACTTGGAAAGTTGGTCTTTACAGTAAGATTTTTAGAATGTATACACTAGTATGCAATACTACAAAAAAAAGTAAGATTCATTATTATCAACAGAAGGCATTTTTAATCTGGACACAGACGAGACATGGCAATATTCTGCACTACTGCGACCACACACAAAAAAAAAATCATTACTAGTCTTGGTGACAATATAATGAACATGTCAATTCCATTCTGGAACAAAGTTATTTTATTCATCTTGATGTATTTTGTTACATTAACATCTGGTAGCATGATAAATTCTCTGTAACTCATTTTTTATTTGCCCCTGTTTCACTACGCTTTCTTTGGATGTGTTTGGGGAGTGTATTTACTAGTGCAGCTTGAATAAAAAGAAACACCATGTTTCAATTATCAAAGGCTGTACAGTATAACACTTTGTTAGAATATCATAAGAAAAAAAGATGCAGGAAATTTGGTGTTTGGTATTTCCTAACTCTTAGAGTCAAGTGTATATCCTAGGCACATCATCAAGTGTACATCCTAGGCACATCAAGTAGAGACTTAGGCATTCATTCAACCCACACCTACTCCTGACTTTCATGGTAAGTAAAACAAGGCAAGTAGGCCACAAGAAAGCTGCAGTAATCTCTGGGCTGGTCCTAGATGTGGAAACTTGGGAAGCCCATGCACAGCCACATGCCCCTACATCTTATAGTTACCATTTTTTCCAGTTTTGTGTAGTTGTTTAGGGGTTTTTTTGCATTGTAGCTGGTTTGAAACTGAAAAAAAAAATCAAAGTTTGCCTTTCATCAGCTTCCTCTTAGACAGAAACCTTTCAACAGATAGCAGAAGATACCAGGACTAAAGAACTTGATTCTGACACACACAATCAGATGGAGCATAGTCAGCTTAAGAAAGTGCACTTCATATTAATAGCATTCTACTGTCTTCTTTCCAGTTGCTATTAGCAAAAGGTAAACTCAGTGAGTGGCTGTATCAGAAAACACTGTATTATACAAGTAAGTACCTTCTTTTTATATTACCTTTGCAAAAACTTTCATTGTATAGCCCAGATATTGCACTCTAGGATCAATAGCTGCATATGTAGCCAGCATTCTTGTGTTATGCTGCGCCTGGGAAAAGAGGAAAAAAAATATCAAACAGATGTTTCAATGTAATTTATGGCTAATTATAGTATAGTCTGCAGTTCAAGCACAGAAGATGCATAATGCAACTGGAGAGCAAAAAATCACAACAATATTCCGTTAAATGCATGCAACATTTCCTGCACAAACATAACTGAAAAGTGTAATCAGGACAGTATTAATGCAGTAACAACAGTAAGAACCTTGGAAAACACCAGCAAAGAAGTAAGTCCATAAGATGACTCACATTGGAACAAATTCCACAAATTGCATCTTCTTCAGAGGTGAATGTGAGCCCATTACATAAGAAATCATGCAATTCCATTGTGCTAGATGTAAGCTGGGATGAGATGTACTATTCATGATGGCAGAAAGGCCATGGTGAATGTGGCATTAACAGCTTTTCAAGAGCATTCACAAAAATGCTTTGTGTGCCATGACGCTGCTCTGCCATCAGGTTATATAGCTACTTGGGTTGGGCTGTGGGCATGGGCCACTGAATATAAATAATGTAGAAAAAAATCCCAAACACACAAAAGCATTTTAATTCTGGTTTCAAAGTTATTCCCTCAAATAATTATTTGAGTGAGTTACAATGAATTAAAAAGCTTTCTTTGAACACAAAACCAAACACAGATGCTTACCAGTGTATTGTATAAACTGATATCTCCTTCTAAGCCACTTCGTCTGTGTTCAAATTTTACTATAGGCACTTTGGCTGTTGTTATAGGCAAGATGTTTCTCAAACCTGGGGAAGCAACACTTTAGTACATAAAACATTTCCATTAACTACATATATAGTAAATGTAAATACAAAACAAATCATACTTTAAAACACCTACCTGGATGCTTCTTAAGAACTTTTGCCAAACCTTCTATTATTTCTTTACAGTTCAATTTCTAGGAAAAACAAATATCACAGTTTCAGATGTTAAAACATGGATCCTATCCCAACAAGCACATTTACTATCAAACATATATTTCATAGAGGAAAAGTCTATGTACAAAAAGAAGCAATAAGCCAGCACATGAATTTACGTAAACTGGTAACTCTTATTCTCTATGTGAACATCTACACTAAACGTCTGCCTACAGGGCATTAAAAGTAAAATAGGCTATATCTTGCTTCAATTGTGCAGAGTGCAACAAGCCGATGTGCTACTAGCAAAATCCTACCTTTTCCATGCACAGAAATCTTAGCTGAATCAAAAAACCTTAAAGCATTCTTAAATTTAAAATAGTAAATTTTATCCATTTCAAAACTCTTACCTCTGCATTTTCATGGCCTTCCAACGTCATGCAGATATCTAGATCACTGTCCCGAAATCCAAATCCATTCTTTGAAGAGCCAAACAAGCAAAGTCTGGCTTTGTCTGATCAAAAGAGTAGACCGAAAAAAGATAAATTCTTTTACAACTGAACGGTAAGTGCTTACTACGGAATATTGCTTTACTGAATGTGTAGGTGCCCATAGAAAATGAGCTTTAAGAGGGAGCTTACAAAGCCACTTCTAAGACTTCACCTTTAATAAAGGAGGAAGCACAATACTTGAAAAATTATTTATAGAAAGTAAGGCAGGATAAAGCCCATGGAATTTTTGAGTGAGTTATGTTACGGAGTTACTATAACCATTAAATAGCATCTCTAAATGTGGTGCAATGTTTTGTGGTATGTGACTGCATTTTCCTGTTTTAAATAAATCAAAATAATGTGCAAACCCAATCACCAGTACAGCTTTACCCTACAGATAAGACAGAGCTACTCTTAAGCAGTCCAAGCAGTATTTCTGGTTCCACTCATACTTTATCTAGGTTGCATATTTTTGCTGTGACTAGGTAAATTTGGTCCATCAGCAAGTTTCTGTAACCATAAGATACTGTTCAAGAACATACAAGCAGTAAGATTAATATACTTTATGGAACACTCT